GGGAATCGAACTCATGACCTTGCGCTTGCCAGGCAGGCGCTTTGCCGCTGAGCTAAATCCCCAGCCCCTGGAGCCCTTTCTTGTGATGGGTCTTTACTGAGGGACTACTGTGCGCCAGGATCAGTCCAGAGACGCCTGTAGGATGGAGAGGTACTGGAGGGGGCCAGAAGCTGGTCATTAACACCAGGGAAAAAAACAGCAAAACCACATCCTCACTTTCCCTCCAGGGAATGCTGTTCCTCAACTGCCACTCCCTTCCCAATGGAACAGCCTTTGCCCAGAGAAGCCCAGGAATCTCTTCCCTCTGGTGCCATGGCCCACAGAAGTCCTTTTCCTCCCAGAAGTCTTAGGCAAGTCACCCGACCTCTTGGAGCCTGCTTTTTTGTCCTGTACCTCCCTCAAGATGGTAAAGCAAGGAACCCCTTAGCACAGCTGCTGGCGCGCTAAGTGCCCCACAAGCGTTAACGGTTACTAGATTATTCAGGTAAAGTCGGAGCAAGGCAGCGCCGGCTTCCCAAGGTGTCTCTGGTTTTGCCTGTGGGCAAAGGTGGCAGAGAGCATGGGTAGGGCTGCCCGGTCCGGCAGGAAGTTGAGGGGGGGCAGACACCAGGGAGGCGTAGGATCAAACAGCGCCCAGCTTCTCCCGGATCCTGAAGGGTGGCCTCCAGTTACACTCTGCTGCTCCCGGGGTGCCAGCGCCCCTGAATCCGCCCCTGGGGAGCCCCAGGGCGCCTCGTAAGCGGGAGTCGGGACTGCACTCACTGGACGATCTCCTGCTTGGTCAGGAACGTCAAGTCCTGGAAGACAAAGCCAGAGAACGGTGGTCAGCGAGCCGCGGCCGCCGCGCCCAGACCCCGCTCTTCCGGGCGCAGGTGGCGCGCGAGGCCCCGAGGGCGGCGTCCCGCGCACCTGGTACTCGGCCAGCAGCTCCTTGGACAGGCGACTGCCCGAGCCCCCCATGGCCGCCGCGCGCACAGCTCCGCCGCTCTTTGGGACGCTGACAACTTTCCCACTTCCGCCCTCGGGCCGCGTCCCCGCCCAGTCCCCGCGGCAACCGCAGCTGAGGCCCCGCCCCCGGCCCGACCCTGGGCGCAGCGCACCGGCGCCCCACGCAGTCTGGTGGCGGAGCTCCGGGATCCCGCAGTGCCCGAAGAGCAGGGGGCGGGGGCAGGGCGGGGAGAGGCGGGGCGATGGCTCGGGCCCCGCCTCCTGATGGGCGGGGCAGGCGGCGGCGCGCGCATGGAACAGGCTGCGCCTGCGCTAAGGGCGTTGCTACGTAGCTAAGGACCCGGTGCCGGCTGCTGGCGAAGCCGCGAGATGCGTCCGTCTTACCTGCGGTAGGTGTTCTGGGCTGCACCCTTGGGCGGGAACCCGTAAAGAGCAGCGAGGAAATTAATACAGAATATCCGGGAGGCCTCGGGACTTGCTGGGTGGAAGCCGTGGGCTGCCATCTGCCCAGAGAAAGCTTATCGTGACTACCACGCGGTGCGAGTTACAGCCCCAACCCCGCGCCTCTCCCGGAGAAACCGTTCCCTGATGGCCCTTAGGCTGGTGACGAGGACCCATGGGTGTCAGGCACAGTGCATAGCTCGCTTTCATTCTTGCCCGACAAGGTAGGCGCCCAGTTTACAATGTCCAGAGCGTTTCAGTGACTTGTCAGGCTCAGACCTGTAGAGGGGGTCCACTCCAAGGCTCCCCACCCTGCGTGGCTCTACTGACAGCCTTCTGGTTATGAAGGTCCCACCTATCCCCACCTGTCCTCCCTGCTGGCTGTGGAGACCTTTGCTTCTGGTCTCCTCTCAGCCCAAGGACAGTGCTTGGCACTGAAATGTCTCAGTAGACATTTATCAGATATGCATGCATGAATGAATGAACCTGTACTAGGGCTGGGAGGAGGAATCGGAGTTAGTTTTTTTTTTTTTTCTTTTGCAGACAAGGTCTTGCTCTGTAGTCCAGGATGGCCTTGAATTTACTATTAGCCCAGGCTGGCACTGAACTCGCAGCAGTCCTCCTGCTTCAGCCTCCCGAGTGCTGGGATTACAGGTTCATGCCACCACATACCACATACAGCCTACTTTTATATGTACAAAGATTGGAGAGTGGTTTAAAAAGTCAAAATCTAGAGGCTCAGTATACCTGGACATGGTGGTGCACACCTGTAATCCCAACGCTTGAGAGACTGAGGCAGGAGAATTGCTTGCATTTGAGGCCAGCCTGAGCTAGATAGCGAGTTCAAGACCAACCTGACCCTGTCTCAAAAAACCAAAACAACATTTAAAAAAAATCAGTGTACACATGAAAATGAGGCTGAATGCAAATAAGTTTTTCCTTGGGCATTTGAGATATAGGTTGAATTTTATCTTTATGTTTTCTCTATTTCCTCTCTCTATATGTGTACACAGGTATTTAAAAATATAAATGAACACACATATTTGTGTATATAAATTTTCGTTTCTTTTTGTCTTTTTTTTTTTTTTTTCTTTTGTCTTTTTGAAACCGGGTCTCGCTATGCAGTTCAGGCTGGCCTTGAGCTCATTTTGTAGCCCAGGCTGGTCTTGAACTCGCAACAATCCTCCTGCCTCAGCCTCCCAAGTGCTGGGATTACAGACGAGCGCCACCAAACCCGGCTTTTTTTTTTTTTCTTTTTTGACACAGGGTCTCACTATGCAGTTCAGGCTGGCCTTGAGCTCACTTTGTAGCCCAGGCTGGTGTTGAACTCGCAACAATCTTCCTGCCTCAGCCTCCCAAGTGCTTGGATTACAGGCTTGTGCCACCACACCTGGCTAAATTTTCTTCTTGGGGCTGGAACCAAACACAGTCTTGCATATGCTAGGCAGGTGTCCTGACACAGAGCTACACCTTCCTTCCTGTTTTGTGCCTTATTTGTTTTGTATTTTTCATTTTTGTTTTGTTGGTGTTGCCCAGAATCAAACCTAGCGCCTCTTACATGCTAGACTGGCACTCTACCTCTGAGCTACATCCCTAGCCCCTCAATACTTTTTTTTTTTTTTTTTTTTTTTTTTGTCTTTTTGAGACAAGATCTTGCTGTGCAGTTCAGGGTGGCCTTTGTAGCCCAGACTGGTCTTGAACTCGCAGCAATCTTCTTGCCTCAGCCTCCCGAATGCTGGGATTACAGGTCTGCACCGCCACACCCGGCTAATAAATATTTTTAATTCAGCAAAAACATGTACTCATCTGCAGGCGACAGAATTATGAGAACTTTCTTTGTTTCCTTTTTTACCAAAGGCGTATATTATATATTGCTTTTGTAATCAGAGAAAAAGTAATTGTTTGAGAATGAACATCTTTAAAAATGGGTTACTATTCTGTGTTTTTCATCTTTTATGATGGCTTCAGGGCAGCTTCATGGCTATTCTGTGTGACTCCCACGAAACTTCCTACCTGCTGCCTCCAGACCATGAGGACTGGGGAGAGCAGGGCGCCCCTGCCTTTGTGTACGGGCAGGAGGAGCTCCTCACGGGAGGGGTGCAGTGGCCTAGCACACCCAGCACCCAGGATTCCCTGCCATTGTCCCGATTCGACTCTGCGCTCTGCTCGGCCTGGAGACAACGGATGGAGCTGGGACTCTTTCGCTACCGCCTTGGGGAGCTGCAGACTCAAGTCCTCCCTGGTGCGGTGGGTTTTGTGGCTCAGCTGAATGTGGAGCGAGGTGTGCAGAGGAGGCGCCCCCAGAACATCGAGAGTGTGAAGCAGGCATTCAATCCGGAACAATTTAACTTCAACAAGATCCGGCCCGGAGAAGTGCTCTTCCGTCTGCACCGGGAGCCTGACGCATGTGGTGCCCTCCCACAGGAGGACATCCTGGTGGTGATCAACGTGAGCCCGCTGGAGTGGGGCCACGTGCTGCTGGTGCCCGAGCCTGCCCGGGGGCTGCCCCAGCGCCTGCTGCCGGGTGTGCTTCGGGCCGGGCTGGAGGCTGTGCTGCTGAGCTCACACCCCGGCTTCCGGGTGGGCTTCAACAGCCTTGGGGGCTTGGCCTCAGTGAACCACCTCCACCTGCATGGCTACTACCTGGCCCACAGGCTGCCTGTGGAGGGGGCGCCCAGCCAGCCCCTGGACCCAGGGGGCCATTTGCACCTGCTTCAGACCCTGCCAGCTCCTGGCTTCCTCTTTTACACCAGCGGGCCCGGGCCTGACTTGGAAGCTGTGATTAGCAGGGTCTGTCGGGCCACTGACTATCTGACCGACCAGGAGATTGCACATAACTTGTTTGTGACACGGGGAGCGCCCCCTGGAAAGGCATCGCCTTGCTCAGCCCTCGCAGGGGTCCGAGTGATCCTGTGGGCCCGGAAGCCCAGCTTTGGAGTAAAGGAAGGTGAGGCTTTCAACGTCGCCCTCTGTGAGCTGGCTGGGCACCTCCCTGTCAAAACAGCGCAGGACTTCAGCACCCTGACGGAGGCAGCCGCCGTGGCCCTCATTCAGGACTGCCTGCTGCCCACTGCCCAGGCCGCAGCAGTACAGGAAGCACTGGTAGCCCTGGTGGCCCAGGAGGAACCATAGTCCCGGAGCTGTGTCTTCACTTGCTGCTCTGCGTTCCCCTCCAGAGGGCTGCTCATTGTCTTGTGGTCACTTGGGCATTTATTTTCATGGCTGCCTTCCCATATCTCTAGGCCTAAGGGGAGAGATGAAGAAAGAACTGATAACTTCCCTGTGATCCCAGCGCTGTGGGAGGCTGAGGCAGGAGGATGGCAAGTTTGACCCTAGCTTGGGCAGCTTAAAGACTGAATGTCTTGTCTCAAAAAAGGAACAGGTTACTGGTCTCTGTGAAAGGGCAAAACCTTGGAATAAATCTAATGAGTGTGTTCCTGTGGATGTAACTGCTTCTGCTACCCCTTCTTCAACAAGCTCCAGGGATGTCAGGCCTGTTGTTAAGGGAGTTGTACAAAAGTTTTAGGCTCCACATGGACCTTTCCTGTGACACCAATTGTTAGCCTTTTTTTTTCTTTCCTTTTCTTTTTTTGCGTACTGGGCATCGAACTCAGTGCATGCCAGGCAAGCGCTCTCACCGAGCTCCACCCTCAGCCTCAGCCCAAGTGTTGGTCTTTGCTTTGATGGTTTCTGGCCCTTTAGCATGAAGCTGCCACTTGCTGTGTTCTCCCTTTTCAGCCCATGGCTGTTTATTTTTACTTATTTATTTATTTTGAGACAGGTTCTTGCTGTGTAGCCCAGGCTGGCCTTGAACTCACTAGTCCAGGGTGATGCTTCTGCCTGAGCCTCTCAAGTGCTGGGATTACAGGTGTGTGCCACTGCATCTGGTTTTTGTTTTTGAGATGGGTTTTCCCCATGTTACCGAGGCTGGCCTTGGTCTCTGGGGCTGAAACAGTCCTCCCGTCTCAGCTCCCTCGTAGCTGGGACTGCAGGTGCCTGCCATTTCTTCCAGCCTACTTCATCCAGTACCTACGTCTTCACCTTCTGAGACTTCACCTTGGATGTCCTGCAGCCCCCAGCATGGAGTCAAGTCCCATCATATCATCTTGTGTAGTAACCAGATTCCCTCACACCTTTAGAGGCGCAGGCCCTCTCACTGCCCCACTTACCAAGAGGAGAACAGCTGGGCATGGTGGTGCATACCCGTAATCACAGCACTTGGGAGGCTGAGGCAGGAGGATCACCATGAGTTCAAAACCAGCCTGAACTATATAGAGAGATCTGTCTCAAAAAAGTAAGCAAGAGGAGGCTGGCAGATTTAGTCACATATTGAGGTTAGATGGCAAACATGAGATCAAGCAGTCATGTGCCAGGACTGGGCTGGGACGGGTGCATTTATGAGCAGCTTCCGGGACAGGGTGTCCTTAGCAGCTCATGGCCCCGCCTCAGCCAGCTCTCCTAGGGCCTCTCCAGGCCCTTCCCAGGTGCCTCATGATGCAGACTTCTTGTAAAGTCCAGAGTGTCCTCACTGTTCTGCCTATGTCTGACTCAATTCAGAAAATGTGTGAAAACCACACACCTTTGTTCTGCTGTTCCTCTAGTGGTTTCCACCCTGGGTCCAGAGGAGACGGCATAGGTGCTACTGTAAGAGAGTACTTGTGTGTAAAGAATCCTTTTCCATTCCATTACCCCATTTGTATACCCAGAGTAAAAGAAATCCTGAGTTTCATTTTAAACAGCAGTGACCACTGCTGCCACTCCTGCCCCGGCCTCCAGAGGGAGCGAGAGGCCCTGCTCGCTGGGTGCCAGCCACAGGCTGGGAAGGCTCCGCGGCCCGGTGCTATGGGCTGTGGCTCTGGCTGTGGCAGGGGCTTTGGGAGTTGGCTCCCTATGCTCAGGTCCATATGAAGCTTTAATGCAGAGTGTTAGTCCAAAGCTCCATACCCCAAAGAAATTACAGAGTCTTGTAGGGATAATACCCATATCCTGTATATAAACAATTTAGGGCCGGGGATTTAGCCCAATGCACAGCACCTGCTTGGCAAGTGTGAGGTCCTGAGTTCAATTCCTGGTACCAAAATAAATAAATAAATAACATACCAGAAAACAAAACAACAATTTAACATTATGGCAGGAATTTTTCACTATTTATTTGTTTGTTTGTTTTCTGGTACCGGGAATCAAACTCACGACCTCACACTTGCCAGCCAGGCGCTGTGCCACTGAGCTAAATCCCCAGCCCCTTGACTGTTTTAATGTTTGGCAAATGCAGTAATTTTAGCCTTTTTCTTCAAACTTTTGAGTCTACAGAGTTTAATAATGGTTTATTTTGCTTTCTTGATCTCTGAAGGAAGTACAGATGACCATTACAGCATAGTAGATTTTAAGTTGGTGAGCAAATTATCAGGATTGTCCCAGTTTCTTCCTAGGACTGAGGTATACCACCTTTCCAGCTGGGTATGGTGGTGTACACCTAAAATCCCAGCTGTCAGGAGGCTAGGCAGGAAGCTGTCCAGAAGTTTGAGGCCAGCCTTGGATATATAGTGAGTTCAAGGCCACCCAGAAGTACACAGTGAGACCCTGTCTCAAAACAAAACAAAACAAACTTTACCTGACCCAAATCAGTTCTTCCAGAAAAAGGGGGAAAATACCTCCCCTACTCCCAGTGCTGGGGATGGACCGCGAGCTTTATGCATGCTAGGTAAGCGCTCTACCACCGGGCTGCAACCCCAGCCAGCTCTGATGAATTTTCTTTTTTTTGTTGTTTTTTGTTTTTCTCCGGTACTGGGAACCGAACTCACGACCTTGCGCTTGCCAGGCAGGCGCTTTTGCCGCTGAGCTAAATCCCCAGCCCTGATTTTTTTTTTTTTTTTTGAATTTTCTTTATGGTAGTACCTCGGAGCCATTTATTTATTTTGATATTGTAATGTGCCAGCCTTTTCTGACCCTATTTTGGTTTTTTATTTTTATTATCAGCCATTTATAAACAGTATGTTTGTGTTGTGAATATGGTTTTGATCTTTAAGAAGAAGATTTGCACTGAAGCTTTTTCTAAGCTTGAATATATGGAACATGCAGAGGACCATTTGTACTCAGAGCCCTGGTCTGGAAGCATGGCAGGAAGCACAGATCCAGCCGGGCCTGTCCCAGCTCTGTGCTTGCCTTTCAGTCCTGAGCCTCCATGGTGGAACTGATGAATAGGAACCCTTGACGGATACTGAGTTGGGGAGTAACAGATGGCAGGTAAAGGCAATGCTCAAGCTGTGCTGGGAAAGGTGAAGGGGAATCAGCCAATGAAGAGGGTGCTGAATGGTAGTAATTCTGGCAAGAAGTGAGGATGGTTGGGCTTGGTGGTGCATGGCTGTAATCCCAGCACTCAGGAGGATGAGTCAGGAGGATCACCTAGAGTTCAAGACCAATCTGAAAAAAAAAAAAAAAAAAAAGAGAATGGTTTAGACCCTAGAGCAGTGCTTACAACATTGAATATTTGTCAGTCAAACCCCTGGGGATACTTGCAAACATCCTGTTCAGTTAGATTGTTCTTGAACTTCAAGGGACTCCAGAACACTTAAAGGATATATATATGTCCTGCAGCCCCCAGCATGGAGTCAAGTCCCATCACATCATCTTGTGTAGTAACCAGATTCCCTCAC